TCGAAGAACACCATATTCGTTGAGCGTGCTCCAGCCACAAACGGATGGCCTGGCGGAACCGCGCACAAGAATCCAAGCGCAGCTACGGGAATTCATCCTGGCCTTCCAGCTAGACAACACATTCATTTACAGGTAAATTCTGGATTTCTACCCGATATACCGTATGGGCTAGGCCTACTGTTGGGATGGGTGGTCATTAACCTTGTTATATAGGGACCAAATTCGACAGAACGTGCTGATCAAAAAATTCTACTGCGATGTTGATATCGCCCATCTCATCGCATACAACGAAGAACTAGCGCATAGACTTACTACCGACCCAGCTGACACAATCCCGCTTGTGAGTGTTCTTTTGGACCAACTTTGGATGGATGGTGACTTATTTCTTTTTCATTACAATTTGCACAGTTTGAAGCCGCTCTCAAACAATGCACTCAAAGAATCGTCTATCCGTCTGAACGAGATATTGAACTGCCAGAACATCAACTTTTACTGCACTCAAGCGTATCTCATATCACTATTCGGGATCTGAATGCCACCAATATATCTCACCTGGTTCGAATCCCAGGTATTGTTATCGGAGCGTCCACGATTTCGTCAAAAGCTACTCGTCTACATATAGTATGTAAGAACTGTGGGGAGAGGGAAAATATTACAATCGACGGCGGATTCTCAGGCATCACACTCCCAAGGCAATGCAGACGCCCCAAGGAAAAGGGCCAGGATCCATGCCCTCTCGATCCGTACGTGATAGAGCACGAGAAATCCCAGTTCGTTGATCAGCAGGTTCTCAAATTGCAAGAAGCCCCAGACCAAGTGCCTGTAGGGGAACTTCCTCGACATATCCTTATATCCGCCGATCGATATCTCGCTAATCGCGTTGTTCCTGGTTCGAGGTGTACTGTCATGGGCGTGTTTTCAATTTACCAAGCAAAGGGTAGCAAGAACTCGACAAAAAGTGCAGTGGCTATTCGAAACCCATATCTTCGTGCTGTTGGGATAAGTACCGATGTCGACCACACAGCCAAGGGCAATTCGGTCTTTTCTGATGAGGAGGAACAGGAGTTCCTGGAAATGAGCAGACGTCCGGATCTCTATCAAGTCTTCGCTGATTGCATTGCTCCGTCGATCTATGGAAACCAAGATATTAAAAAGGCGATTGCCTGTCTGCTCATGGGTGGATCCAAGAAAATCCTGCCTGACGGCATGAAGCTTCGAGGGGATATCAATGTGCTGCTACTGGGTGATCCTGGTACCGCTAAATCTCAATTGTTGAAATTCGTGGAAAAGGTGTCGCCAATTGCAATCTACACGTCTGGCAAAGGCTCCTCGGCTGCTGGTCTTACAGCCTCCGTCCAACGGGACACTACAACACGTGAATTCTATCTTGAAGGTGGTGCGATGGTGCTTGCAGATGGTGGCGTTGTCTGTATTGATGAATTTGACAAGATGAGAGACGAAGATCGAGTCGCCATCCACGAAGCCATGGAACAGCAGACTATTTCCATTGCGAAGGCTGGCATTACCACTATACTCAATGCTAGAACGTCTGTGCTTGCTGCTGCAAATCCAATCTTCGGACGATATGATGACTTGAAAACTCCTGGTGAAAATATCGATTTCCAGACTACTATCCTGTCCCGGTTTGATATGATATTCATCGTTAGAGACGAGCATGAAAAGGGCCGTGATGAGAGAATCGCCAGACACGTTATGGGCATTCACATGGGTGGGAGAGGAGTGGAAGAGCAGGTCGAAGCTGAGATCCCAGTTGAAAAAATGAAGCGATACATCAGCTACTGTAAATCGTAAGTATTTATAAACCGCCGGCACCATCATCTATGCCCAGACAAACTCTCAATATTAACAAAACAACTCGCAGACGCTGTGCCCCACGTCTTTCCCCAGAAGCCGCAGAAAAGCTCTCCTCCCACTTCGTCTCCATCCGCAAGCAAGTACACAAAGCCGAACTAGACGCCAACGCACGCTCCTCAATCCCCATCACCGTCCGCCAGCTCGAAGCCATCATCCGCATCAGCGAATCTCTCGCCAAACTCACCCTCTCCCCCATCGCAACGGAAGAGCACGTGGACGAGGCGATCCGCCTATTCCTCGCCTCGACTATGGACGCTGTCACGCACGGAGAGGGCCAGGGGAGCAAAGAGTTAATGGAGGAGGTTGGCAGGGTCGAGGATGAGCTCAAACGCCGACTGCCGATTGGGTGGAGTACGAGTTTGTCTACCCTCAGGAGAGAATTTGTGGATGGAAGAAATTACAGTGAGCAGGCGCTCAATCGGGCGTTGCTTATTCTCCAGCGGCGGGAAACGATTCAGTTTAGATCTGGTGGTTCTCAGATATATCGGAATGGGCCATGATTGGTCTTGCTCTGTGGTTTCTATTTCTTTCTATTTTTTTCCTTTTTTAACATTGTTCCTGTCCTCTTCTTTGATACTTGCGTCGGCATTTGTCGCTCCCCATTTGTTCCGTAGAAAAGGAAGCAAGGCAAGAAGGTGGATCCTGGATTTTCGGCAAGTTACAGCTTGAAAACGGTCAACGGTTATGAAGGCGGCGTTCATTAAGGAGATTTATTTTTATTGTTTCACACGCGTAAATGCATAGGCTGGCTTACATATTACAACATATATAATATCACGATACACGACAAAGATCTGTTGCACATGATAGTTCTATAAACATTCTGTCAGTTCAACGGTTTATGAAGCGGATTATCAGGTTTCCCTGAACTTCCATCGCTTGATATGACCAGTACATGCCCCAGTAAATAGATGAAAGGCTTTGATTTCTTCTATTCTGATGAATTAGTCGCTTGCTGCTGTCCTCCCACCCTTCTTGGTTTCTTCTCCCCTATAAACATGGATGTTAAAAGTGACACGCCTGAGAACGCAGTTAGGAATATATTCTGCTTATTATAGCCCTCTCCAAACGCCAACCTTACCGCAGACTGTTGGGCGGGTGTTAAGTTGTCAATGGAAGCGAGGGAATCTGAGATGGCTCGTAGTTGAGAGGGGCTGATTACGGATGCCAACTTTGGTCGGAGATCGTTATTGAGGATTGTCGAGCTGCATTGTCAAATGGGATTAAAAGTGGCCTATATGAAGGGAAAATTATCGGGGGTAATCGCTCGTACCATTTTGCTAGTGGTTCAGTGCCGCCTAAAACCTAAAACACACACTTGAGTCAGAGCACCCATTGTCACCCCTGATATTTATACTGCATTAGTTTGTTGATCGTTCCTAACATGGGCGTCGTAATACACAATACCTAAATCAGGGTCCTTTATCACCAGCGGCGCAAGGGTCAAAATGGTAGTCAAACTCAGCCCAAACCCAAGTCCCATGAGAGCTTTGTATCCGTACTGTTGGGGCGAGACATCAAACGATTTGGTTGGCAGCGCGCATGTTAAGCCTACGCCAATTACTTGAAGAACCGATCCTAGAAGTATCAGGTAAAAAGGAGGGATTTTGAAGTTTGAGGTGAATATGCCGGAAGCCGCTGTGGCAAGCGGGGATGTGAGAAGTAAAGGGAGTAATGCTAGTCCTGCCTTTACTGAGGAGAGTCCACTGACAGCCTGAGCACGTTGGGGGATATTGACGACAATTGCGACAAATGGGAAACCGGTGAAGAAAGCAGTCCTAGATGCGCATACAGATAAGCGTTTTGGCCACATCATACTAAGAAGCAACTCTGGGAGGGTAGGGATTGACTTACGCCATCATAGCAGCCACCACTCTTTTCTTGAGGAGCCTAAGTGGGAACACGGGTTCCTGTAATGAGGTTGATTTTTCAAGAAACAACTCCCAGAAAACGAACAAAATACCCGCAATGCCCCCTACAGAGAATGTGGTTATAATGACAGCGTCGCTCCAGGAATAGCGAGTGCCAGCCTCCTCCAAGGCAAAAACGAGCGGAATGGACGATGCAAGGAGTAGCACCACGCCAACAACATCGACTCTTTTCAGCGCCGATTTGGAGACCTTGGCCCGGAAATGATCTGCGAACTTCACATCCGTCTGGGACGATATTGATGATGGCAAATATAATGTCACAATCCCGATACAGACACATCCCGCTGGCGCTCTATGAGCGAAGAGGTGGTAAGTATATGAACTGTATCAGCTCCAATGAGCAAAGTGCTTTTCCACATACTTCAATAGGAAGATCCATCTCCATGCTGAATTCGTGCCAATTATACCCCCAAGAATTGGCACTAAAATACTAGCAATAGCGAAAACGGAGGCTATTACCGCAAGATATTTCCCAAACTTTTCCTGTGGGACCAAAGTTGGCGCTATAGCCAAAATCATGGAGTATATGCCAGAGGCTCCCATGCCTTGAAAAGCACGGAATATAATGCTGTTCAACCCTAGTTAGCCTCGTGGGAGGGCAGTATGGGGGATCTCGACTTACAGTTCCACAACATCATTTGTAGCACCGCAAAGGATCGAGAAGAGAGTAAACAAGGCCAGGGCCAGGAGGAACATAGTTTTCCGGCCGAATACATCTCCCAACTTGGCGTATACCACGAGGAATCCTACACCTTGGTGTTAGTTTGAGTATTAAAAGTGGTGGGAGAATTGTCGTACGACAATGCAGTACATTACCAGTGTAGGTTAAAAGATAAGAAGTAACAATCCAATCTCGCTTTTCAAACCCGTCGAGAGCATTAGTGATAGACACCAGCGAAGTGCTGAGCTTGGATTCAGAGACATGGGCTAGAAGCTGACGAATTGTATTCATCCTTCCAATTTGTTTCAGCGCAGGAGGACAATGGCCGGCATGAGGGCGCGAAATATCTTATCTTTCTTCAAGCCGTTCGTGTTAAATCTTCGCTTCTTCAGCAACGTCAATGGCATGTGTGACGGCGGCACCGGTCAATTAAAAAGCTTAGTGTCCACGGCACACAAACCATCGTCCAGTTGTGAATAACAAGCTGTCATTCTCGAGCCTTGCTGCCTGATGTAATATATTGGCGACGAGATATGCCTGGCCCCGAAAAGTTGGAGAAAGAAAAAGGCACCGTTCCGGGCCGCTTCGAAACCTGCGCAATGACAAACCTCCATTTTTTTTATTCCTCGAACCCCGAAGGCACACTTGGCAGCGGTCGAGATTCATTTGGTCGTGGAAGTTTTCAAGAGCCCTACCAGCTCCAGACCATACGAATGCTTTTTATTCACTCCTCAGACAGGTCTCAGGAACCGAATGTTCCCAATCCCATCTTCATCGGCGCACACTATCGAGTCGACTTGGTTCAACGAGAAATCATTGAGGGCGCAAGCATGTGAGCGATCTGAGCAGATAACTAACATTTTGATGGGTAATTCGGGACTTCGCGAATACATGTCTGAAGCCTGCTGTAGTACCCCATGGATGCAACCAACCGTATGTTTGTATTGCGTAGCCTCGGATATGCTAAAATGTCACGATAACGGGGAATAGAAAAGCTAACTACCATATTGAATAGTCTGTATACATCAAATATGCGATTTCTACTCGTTTAATCTGTACTGGCATACCTATTGCCGTCCAGTGACATTTTTCGCTCTCCGGCAAGTGGAAGATACCTAGGATCCGCGCTCTAAGTCCTTGGTTCTGCTATAACGTTATGGCTCGGTAGCCGATTCCTGTCGAAAGACGCACCGTCAGCCATATTTATCCGATCGAAAGCCACTCACGGAGCACCATCATCAGCAAAGTGAAATGTTGGTTCAGGGGCCCTGTACCCGGCACCCGGTTCGATGTTGTCGGATCACATTGTTCATTGTTGGCTCACCAACTCAAGTAATGATAGCATTCGGGTGCCTTAACAACACTCTTGCCCGCAGCAATCACTTCCAGGATGACGGTTTTCGTGGTGATGTTGGATTATGAGGGATTGATTATCCATGAAAAAGGCTCAAATGTCTCTGAAACGCTTCATGTAACCAACTTTTCATCGGCACACCCTTTCATAGCCCAGGGTTCTAAAAGGGCGGTTTGAAGTATGGTCCTCGTTTCTCAACGTATCAAAATCCTACGATGAAAATACCTGCTGGGTTTTGAACTCTCCAACCTGTCACCCGATGAGAGCGCCGTTTCCTTAACTATCAGACTAATGGATAATAGTCATACCAGCTATTCTCCGACCCGGGCGTCGGTGAATGCACTATGACGACTACGACTCTGGTTCGATTCCAGGCTGACTTTTCCATCTTACTACCAATTCAAATTGGCTATTAACATTATGCGATCATAGCACATCAAAATACGGTGCATTGCGTTTCTACAAAACGCTTGGACGGGCATATCGTTTGGTTCATGTGGCAGGCCTTGATAAGCCTCCATCAACATGGACGATCTCTTCGTTATCCCCTATTCTGGGCCTACATATCGAAAAATATCCATGATAAACCTCATCTCAATTTCGATATACCGGCATCAGCCCCAAAACAACATGGGAACACAAAACCAGCCTAGCTGTCAACTCAGACTCGGGCTTTGGTCCCGTGTCTAGAATCAAGGAATCAAGGCCGATGGACTTCGTATCGCTTACAGCCACTGGAAAATGGTTCGCATGCAATATTCATTTTGGCTGCTTGGACGGATACAGGCAATAGACTACCCTTGCTGCTGAAGCGAAACATTTTATGATATCATACTTGAGCGTGGAAAGCATTGGGTACCCGACTTATTCTAGGCGAACAAACCAGATGCTACGGCATGGAATGATTGGGGCGGACAAGGGAGTCTACTTCTATGAGGAAAACCAATGGTGAATGGAATATGGCGGAAAGCAGCGGCCGAGGCAGAGCGACTCGAATATCAAGACAAGCGTTTAACCCCCTCCACCCTTCTTTTGTTAGGGGATCCACGACTTTATTGCCATCTGGGTGTTGGATGCGGCGTCAGCCTGTCGGGCACTCAAGGACCAAAGATAGCAATAGGGCGGGAGGTGAGAAATATATCCAGCCACCTGACCCATGGTTCATCGATTCCGGGTACCCTTCCCCGATATATCAGGGATTAGTTTCAATTTACGAAGATACTGTACATTACAATGCCAGATATACACCTACACGAGTAGAACGCAGCCCCGCAGTACGAAATCTAGGATGGTTTGCTCCCTTGGAGCAACACCATCGTTTCAGTTTCCGCTGGCCTAGGGAACATAAAAAGACTGCTTGAGAAATACATGTAGCCCCGACTACTAAGGTACCCAGCAGCTCTACTCTCATTCCAGATAAAATTTAGTATACGTAAGTACATACAAAGGGCTCAGTCGTAGACTTCAGCTCCCGAAAGTCACCTTATGCCAAACGCTAGTCTGTGACATTATTCGAGATATTAAATACCACTGTGAAAAGCGGCCCGTGAGCCTACTCTGTGTAGCAACCTCCACAATTGTTTCCATGTTGTGTTCCCTTGCCAATGCGTTACACAATCACATCTATCGCATCTCCCATAGGACTTCGAATGTGACATTGTGAGAGGTGTGTTGAAGTATCCGAGCACGTTTTCTGTTGTATGGTTACCTTGCCCTCGTGTTCTATTTTCCCAGTGCTATTTATCAGCTTCAAAAATCTGATAGACATATTTATATGTATATTATTTGAGAATACCGGTTGGTGCATTACCTAGGTTAGCTACGGAGGGTACTGAGCAGCGATATGGGAGAGTTACACGCACTCAATTGATTGGGACGCAACCGCGCGAGGGTTCCGATCTTTTCCCTCGTCCTCTCGTATGGATGCAGCATCTGTAATAGAACCAGAAAACTACGGGGGGCCTTTTTCCAGTTCGTAGCCGTTGGGCGGAACAAAAATACGTTTACAAAACGTCTATGCCGATGATGATCTTATTCTAAGCGCCGTCAACCTGCGCATGTAAGATGTAACTAATGCATACGCCTGAAAGCAAATCCTTGTCAATGTCGTCACATGAAGGGAAAAGAGTAAAAAATATAATCTGTACAGATCTGTAGTCCCCACAAGGTTGTTAATGGGGAGTCATCTTTTAATTCTCTTCTTCAGTCAACGATCTGAATATCCCTGCTCTTTAGCTTGATTGGTTGTCGTAACTATGCGGAGGAACGAACCCCAGAAAAAAAATGATAGTTCGATATATATTGTCTTGAGACTATGATATCCTCGGAGACAGAGGGTACAATAGCTCCAATCCAAATCCAAACGATGAAGAGTTGCATGAGCAGCAGTGATGGCAGTAATGGCCTTTGCTGATCCACCCATATGCAAAATGCATGTTCAGTCTGAGACGAGGCTGAGGGAAAAAATGCACACCTAGATTCTATTTGTATGTGTATATGTACATACATACATGTATCTATAGTCCACGTGCTGCCAATTTTCGTACCGTTATGCTCCCGATCAATGTCACTCTCTATGTCAAACCTAGCTGATAAACCTAAAAAGAGGATAGCGGAGAGGGGGGGAACGGGGCATGAAAACAAACTGCGTTCCCTGGAGCAGCGTAGGGAGGGGAAGCAGACAATTATAAAGGAGGGGAAATATCAGTCTTTAGTCTGGGACATGTAGAGGTGTAGGGAAGAGCCTCGAATACAGCATAAAAGCTTCGCCTGTGGAATACGTTACAGTGCATGCAATGGTTAACTGTAAGGCTCTCGTGATTTCTGTCATGGATGTAAGACATTTCTTACACCAGTCGGATATCGAGGAAGCTAAAGGGTATCTGGACGGGTTTTCCAACAGGGGTTTGTCGGGAAGTCGTCAGCTATGTAAGTTCTCGTGCTACCCCCTCTGTTGACAGTGATGTTGGCTCATGCGCATACAGTGGGTTTGTGAGACGGACGGATTATGGTAGATAAAGACGGGAGAAGACAAGGAAAGGAGTCTTTGTCATTTCTTGTTTCATCAGCCTCAGCTTCCACGGGTTCTGCGGAAATAAAATATGACATTGGCCCCTTTTTGCTAAATCAGCATACTTCTACCTCAATATATCGAAAAGTTCCCAAGGGAATGTGGCTAAAAGATCCCCCGCAGAAGTGACATCAGATAAGAACAAAGTCAAGTTTCTAAGCCATGAACAATCCAACGGACATGTCGACCTTTCCCACCCAGCCAGGGAGCGCAGACCCGGAGCCTGGTGCCATCGTGATAACCAAGCTGAATGAGGGCATAACGACCATAGCCATGAACCGCCCAAAGAAACGAAATGCCATCGACATTCCAACTGCGAAGAAACTCCACGCTGCATTCCTCGACTTCGAAGCCGACGCAACTCAGAAGATCTGCGTCTTACACGGCAATGGAGGCACATTTTCCTCCGGCTTCGATCTGACGCAGCTGACGAATTGGCATGGACCGGCATCGAACATAGCTCATCATTCCAGTATCACCAGGGCGTACTTCGAGCCTGTTCGTGGTGAAAATATGGGACCGCTCGGACCAACTCGAATGCATGTTCGAAAACCAGTGATATGTGCTATCTCCGGCCACGCCGTTGCTGGTGGTCTAGAGCTGAGTCTACTGGGAGACATGAGAGTAGTAGATGAAGACGCTATATTCGAAGTATCTTCTCGGAAATTAGGGGTACCGCTGCTCGACGGAGGAACAGTCAGGCTGCCGCAAATCGTGGGTCTAGGGCGAGCTCTAGATATCATATTAACAGGGCGTCCAGTGACAGCAAAGGAAGCTCTGGATATTGGGTTGGCGAGTCGGGTGGTGCCGAAGGGTCAATCGTTGGGCGAAGCGATGAAACTCGCACGGATACTCGCATCCTTCCCGCAAGAATCTTTGAATGTCGATCGACAGTCGTGTTATTATGCTGTATACCACGCACATTTGCTTGAAGACGCGTTGTCTCAAGAATTTGATGCAGGCACCAGAGTCAGCGACATGGCCATTGAAGCTGGGTTGGCATTTGTTCGGAAATCGCGGAGACAGTCGAAGCTTTGACCAAGGAAGCAGCTGCCAGGGCTACTACAGTATTTTGGTGATGCGCCAACGGCTCTCGGGGAAGAAATGATGAGATGGAGCTGGTTCGTTTTCTTTCTTTTCTTGTTGATCGTCTCCAAAATGTCCCATCCTTTTAACGGCTATAATTACTGTATCATGCTTCTTTGGACTTCAGCCTTCGGCCCCTTTAGATTCGATTCGCTGCCATACTAGCACATATCGCACGCTTCGCATCCGAATTAGCAAGATTAAATAGGGTTTTGTACGAGCATTTCCTATTGATTTTCTTGTTTTGTTCTTTTTCCTTGATTCTTTCTGGTTATGTTAGGCATATAGTTAGGAACATTAGTCCATTGGTTAGTTAATATCAATTTACCAAACCCTCACCTCTAACTGTATGTGCAATCCCTTAAGAGTCAAGAGAAGAAATCAAAAACCAGTGAACGTAAAACTGCATTTGGATATGAAACAGCTGTGAATTTACCCGAGAGGGAAGGGCGTGGTTTACATCGTAAGATTCGTGACCCAGCCGCTTAACTATTCTTTGCAGCAGCACAACGTAATAAAATTCAGTTTCAATGATGAGAAGTCCATCAGGAAGACATAGCTGTTTTTTTGTATATGTGTATATATCGATGGCTCATTGGGCTCCGACAACAGGTGCTCTGCGCGATGGCTGCGGTCCAGCAAATAATGACAACACCTGATGAAAAGTCAGTCAATAGGATGAACGCGCACTGGGAACTTCTCCACGACTTACTTCCATCTAGTATACGTATGTCTATTTAGGAAATGGAAGATTAGATGATTGAAATATAAGAGAGACGCAGTAACTAATTTCGCCCCCAAGAACAAGTCAAGTTGTCATCAAGTTGCGGCACAGAGCCGCCCGAGAATACGGCAGCCTACAGCGTAGACTGAGTAACTAATAATAATAAATACCTCCGACAAGTAGTTAACTACTTCATGAACTTTGGATCCCACTCGCTTCCTTTTTTGGATGCCCGTAAACAACAAATTCAACCGTCAGCGACTCTGAACACAACGCAAACAGAGAGATGGACTTCCTCAACTCCTCCTTCTTCACCAAAACGGGCCATAAGAGCTTGCCAGCTGCTGCAGAGGCTGCCTTTCTCTCAGAGGAGTTCAACAAACATCCACGGCCCACATAAATTTGAGCCGTCTGTGGTGGTTGAAGAAGTCCTAACTCTTGTATGATTGGAGAGTTTATCAAAACTATTGTGTTCATTTATGAGAGATTATTTCTTTTGAGCCAGATGCTGGTGACTCAATTTATCAGTATGCACGTATCCCGCAATTCTATCAGAGTTGCCCACTGAGGTAAATATAGAATCCATCAACCGCACGCATGTTTGCACAATTATGTCTTCACAACCATCCCTCAATCAGGGTCTTTTGAGAATGTGAAAGCATTCAATGACTGGTTTTCTTCTCTGCCTCAAAGCTGGCTTCCTGATTCAAAAGAGATATCGGGATCCTTATCAAGACTTGTATTGAGATAATATTCTAATTTCATCAGCTGGTCGCCCATGTGTCCTTGCTCTAGTTGATTGGGCTCATACTGGCTGGTACCCAGAATACTGGGAGTATTGCAAGGCCTTATACACACCAGACTATAAGGAGGAATGGCGCAACGTTGGGATTCCTAATTTCTTAACCGCGTAACGAGCTTGAGTTCGCTGTTATTGCTGGTTGGAGGAATCTGGGTCGCTGCAATTTCAATTGCGCACTTGGGGGGAGGAGAGTCTGTGACCAGCGGGGTAAATAACTAACTACGGCAGACAAGTAACTAGTTAAGTTAACTAAGTAAGTTGCTTAGTTACATAACTAATTCCTAACCTCATCGTTTCCCATACTATACTTCGAGTTTCTAACTATGCAGACAGACCACTCGCCATTGAAAGAACAGAATCACGTCTATTACAACCGAAGATTATCCTTAATCACCATACCTACCATTGAAAAACTAAGGACGAAAAACTCCCAGGAAAAACCAAAAATGGTCCCCTCAATCCGCATCATCGGCTCCCTAAACGTCGACATGGTCTCTGTGACCCCGCGCTTCCCCGAAGCAGGCGAAACCCTCACATCAACCTCCTTCAGCATCCACGCCGGCGGCAAAGGCGCCAACCAAGCAGTAGCATGCGGCCGTCTCTCGCGCCCCAAACCCACTAACACCACTAACACCACCACCACTACCGCCACCACCACCACCACCACTACCACCATCACACCAACCATAAGCCCGGCACACATCCACGTCGAAATGCTCGGCGCAACCGGCCAGCTAGACACGCACTTCACCACCCTCCTCCAACCGACCCTGCACAGCTCCGGCGTCCACACCTCCCGCATCCGCCAGATCCCCAACGCCCACACGGGCGTCGCCGTGATAATTGTCGACACCTCCGCCGGCGGCGAGAACCGCATCCTCTACTCCCCCGGCGCCAACTATGCCGGCATGCAGTGTGCGCCGGACGTGCTTGAGCTGTCGCTCTCGCTGACGCCGGCCGTGCCGGATGTGCTGGTGTTGCAGGCGGAGATTCCGACTGAGACGGTTGTGGGGATATTGAGGGGGGTGAATGGGTGGAGGGAGGCGAGGGCGAAAGTGGAAGGGAGGGGGGTGGGGATGGAGGCGGATGTGGAGGTTGTGTTTAACCCTGCCCCGGCGCCCGAGGGGGGCTTGCCGGTCGATGTGTATGCGGCTGTTGATCATTTGGTGATGAATGAGACGGAGTGTGAGATTATGGCGCCGGCGGGGTTGGTGGAGGAGGGCGCGGGGCAGGAGAAGGAGACGGCGGCAACGTCACCCGAGAGGCGAGATAGGATTGCGCGGCATTTTCATGCATTGGGGGTGCGGCATGTGATTGTTACGTTGGGGGCGAAGGGGGTGTGGTATAGCGCTGGTGATGCGGGGAGAGATGTACAGGAGCGAGGACAGGGAGAAGGAGATGCAAAGGGAGGGTGGGTAAGGTTTGTGGGAGAGGTGCCGGCGGCCAAGGTGGAAAAGGTGGTTGATACGACAGCGGCGGGGGATACGTTTGTGGGCGGGTATTCGGTGCAGATTGCGCGGTGGAAGGAGGCTAGGAGGGCGGCGGGCCGGGGCGGAGAGCAATTGACGGTTGAGGAGAGGCAAGAAAGGTATGGGTCCGCCATGGAACAAGCTGTTAGATGGGCAACGAGGGCGTCGGCGAGGTGTGTGGAGCGGAGTGGAGCGATGGATAGTATACCTTGGGAAGATGAGATATGATTGTGGCTTTTATAAAATAAAATAAAAAAACGGTATAGTACGGATTGATATAGAGGAACATTTTTAATGAATAATGGATATCATGTATTTTATGTGACACTGTACATAGCTTTTACACACTTATGTTATATAGATAGCAGAATCCCAGGAGGTTCACAAGTTCCATTTACCAGGAGAGGCTTGTTGAGTGGAGGAAGAACTGTGCACTCTCTCCATCAAATAAATTCACTGCCCCATTTCCATTCATTTATTTAATTCATATTTTGTCTGGGTACAACATTTTGTCTTGTGTTTTAATTGTCTTGCCTAACTCCAATTCTAATTCTCGCAATACGAATTCGGGGTTCACCACCACACCACACCATATGCAAATCAGATAGATGGCAGTCCAATCATTGGCCTGAGAAGACTTCTCCTGTCAGCGAGCAAGTACGCTGCGTAAGACGGTATGGCAAAGGAGTGCTCCCCCCCGGAGCTCCAGATGAAACAGGATATTCCAACCTGTTTCTCAGCGTGAGTGGGAAACGAGGTTAACTGCGCCTCTATATGGCCATGAAACAATATCCTGTTGAATAGCGAATCTGTCTTCTAGGAGCAAATATCTGTTAGTTATTGATGTTTGTTCCATCCATTCTAACTATTATTGACAACGAACATCAGAGGCTCACCACCGCCAGTTATCATATCACATGCCATGATGCCATGATGCCATGATCTACAGCTCCCCAGGCAACTATCAACTAGTTATCGATTGGGACAAGCAAAAACCCCCTCCTCGTCCTCGCCTCTTGTCAGCCAAATCCCAAAAATGGGCTATTCCCACCACGCCCCCAGCCATCTCCCCACCTAATGTTGACCAGTCGTTGCGCTATGATTAGCGAGGTGCGCATCACTAAACCGGATGATGTCTGTCTGAAACTCTGCGCAGCATATGCATGCAGCGCGTCGCGTCAATGTGGAAATAATTCAATATAATACAGGAATATTACAGAAAATTACAGCACCCACACACATGTTGGACCTAGGGACGTGAACGGAAAGTTCAAGAGTACGGCAGTCTATAGTGACAAATGTGTCAAATGGCTTTTGTCAATGTATTTTCAGTGTAATGGCTTAATTCCACATAATACTGATTTTATAATCACGCATGAATTGCACTAGTTCTAATGTAGTTAGTATATTACTATATATGAAAGAGTATGTCTTAGCTTTCTCTTATAAATCTCTTATTATATACAGTCTGTAAAAGCCTGTTCAGTGACTTATTATTATTATTTGCGGCGGGCTGCGCCTGATCAATCATATAGACTATTTCATTACACTTCATAGATTCTTCCATTCCTGATCACCGATCCTCAGCCGCTACGAACGCGTGTAATGTACGCTCTGATTCTCAGTCATTCCCAATCACTGATCCTCAGCCACTATGAACACGTGTATATTCTTCTGCCCCGAAGCTCCACCGCGTACATCACCACATATAGACTGGCCGCCGGGACCATGAATTTCATGTTTAGTCCCATTTGATCTGGTCTCATACATTTCTTAGCGTGAATCCCGCTGGGACTGACTATTAAAAAAACATGTAAAGTGACTATATATCAGATCTTAAAATGAAATCATGACTTGAAAAAAATAAGAAAGTGATCTTATTTGATTTCATTTAGTCTCATTCTTAATATAAAGTTACTATTTTTAAACATTTTAAGGTTTTTTTTAGACTATTTTTAATTTTTTAAAAAGTAACACTTTTTAATAATGCTTAAATGAGATTTAAAGTCATTTAAAGCAATAAAAATAATTTAAATTGAGAAGTGAAAATCATGATCTTATTTGAAAAATGTGATAAGAGTAGACAGTAAGTCTCACTGAGATAGTATAAGACTACTATTTAATATTAAAACCATGTAATGAGATCAGTTAAATTGATAATAAGACTATTAAAAAATCTAGTTCTGGTCTCAGACACGGTCACATGATCAGTCTAATCACATATGTATATAAATATTTATCTTAATTACTGATTCTCACACTTTCTCTTTCTTTTCTTCTTTAACATTTTTATCTTTGTTAAATAAGATCTATTAATATAACACTGATCTATTCAGTGTAGATCTCTTACACTATAAAAATGTTCATTATCTTCTTATTAGAAAATGATTATTCATGCATTATCTTCTCATTAGAAATGATTATTTATCAAGAGATATCTAAACATGTAATAACATGTAAGAAATAGAGAAACAGTTAAACAGTTAAGTAGATACTGAGTTCTTAGATAGAAGCTTACTCATCAGTCACTCTGACTCTGTAATAAGATCTTATAAGAGAATATCAGTGAAAGACTTAAGAGTTCTGATACTCAGATATATGAGAATATAATTACATATCTGATGATTGATATAACCATGTCTAATAATAATATGAAACTCTTAAATATAAGTATAGATACAATATCACAGTAACTCTAAGCAATGTTGAAATTATAACAATAATAAATAGCTGATATGCATGCAACTCAACAACTTCAATATGAAGAGATTCAATAATTAACTTATATAATTTCAACATCTACAGAATTAAATATAAAAGTGCTGAAGAAATACTTAGATACTTCTATATATTTTAATACTTCTGATCTCACTCTCTACTCCTTATAAAGAATGAAAATGCTTGTGAAACTGAGTATAAATAAAGATTTCATTAATTCATTAATCAATTAAGATTAATATATTAATGAATAATTAAAGAATCACATGAAACAGAAGTTTTATTTATGAATAGAAGTATATGAATCAGTGTTATAAATATCTGATAATATTATCAAACATCTTGATATTCTGTTCTGAGACACTGTCATGCAATAGAAAGTATTAAATTAATTACAGAGTATTTAACAGAGAAATATTTCTCTTACAATATTTATCTTTGACTTCAACACTAAGATCTTAGAAGTAGATGATCAATCTTGAAAGAATTAAATGAAGATTAACATGCTCAAGAAGACATTAACTTTCAAACTCTTACAGACTCTTATAAGTGTAAATAAAGACTCAACTTATAAAGGCTTCTGCACACAGCTTCAGATATTAAATGATTATCTTATCAAGCTTAAGAGTATATAGAACAGTGATAGAAGATGTTACACTTCAGTCACTTATACACTCACACTGAAGAATAATGATGCAGAGATCATGAACTGAATAGATTCAAATGTCTATGTATAAGCAAGAGTTTTCACTGTTTAAACAGGCTTTTAAGTTTCTGAGATCACTCTCAAAGAAGTCACTGATTGATATTAATATAAAGTATATATCAACTGTAACTGATCAGAACATATTGCTTTCAACTGCTGATTAATCTATGTACCTTCACACTCAAGAGAAAGATCAGTGCCTGTTCACATCAACTACAT